TTTATATAATAAGGCAACTAATATGGATTTTATTGGTCTGCTAGCCGACTATAATTGTGATGAGTAAGAACTCTCTGTATATTGCTTTACTTTTAAATTACATTTATATCTTACTTTTATGTATTAAAGTTTTAGTACCATCATCGAATATTACTCAGTCACGACTATTCCCAATGCGTTGCAGGGCTAGGCATTTCATTTGATACAATCAAATACCAAAAAATTGTCAATATTTTATTAAATTTATTACATAGGGATGAGTCAATCGACTCCAATTAGGTTTACCTACATAGTTAATTCCGATGGAACCAATTAATCCAGTCCTTAAATTACTTATTTGGGAATAGCTATTGAGTGAGGCTATTGGAATCGACAAATAACTAATATCCCTAGCAAGTTATACGTATTACAACCGTTATAAAGCGCATTTATGATCCTATAGTTATGAGAGCTCAAGTATAGGTTGGAATCTATCAAATAAATTGAAAGAATTAAGTGAGGATAGCGCACGATATCTTATTGCTAGACAAGTTCACACTATCAATAATAATGTTATTATTGGGAATCCTATCGGATTTGTTATATTTCAATTTACCTTTGAAGAAACAATGGCGGATGATGATCGAAAAATTGAAACTACCTATTGGTATATTTTAACACAATCTATTGAATATTATATATATTTTAATTTTAATTTTTTTTTTTTTTATGAAATTCAGTTAATGGAAAAAGCAAGGAACAAAGAACTAGGCACATTTTGATGACTATGATGGAATTAATCGGAAAATATTAGAAATAAAGAAAAGCAAGCTTACTGTTTTTAAAGGTATTTATTTATGATTTATTTAATTTATTAAATTCATTAACAAATTCTTTTATTATTTAATACACAAATTTAATGCATATTAAAATTTAGAAACACTGCTGCACTTAATTTTACTGTAATCATCTCAGATTGTGTGGTATAGATAAGATCAATGCAGTATAGATGAGATCCGTACAGTATAGTAGTGCACAACATCTACCTTAAAATCTGTACTATACTAATCTGCATTGTAAATTATTATTGAAGTTAGAAATTATAGCAGATTAGTATAATACAGTATTTAGAATAGGTATATATACTACATCTCATATCATTCATAGGAAAACATTCATATGATTGGTTAAATTTTGTAGATCTACCCGTGATTTCCCGTGATAATTAACCAATCAAATACATAATTTTTAATTAATACTACAGTATTAGAAGACAAAAGAAACTTCGTATAAAGAAGTTTACAAACTAATAAATAC